TATGTTATCACAGTAGTTATGATTATCTGGTGTGACAGATATTTGAAAACTATGAATATTTGAACAATCAATTGACAGTGATTTCCTGTTGATGAACCTGCGTCTGCTGCTGCAAGAAAGACGCGATCTTCGAGTGATTCTCATGAGTGCAACAATTAATGCTCATCTCTTCTCAGACTTTTTTGGAGGATGTCCAGTTTTGCAGATACCAGGTATGATCAGCCTAGTCCCTGATTTGTCCAGTTATTTCCACAGAACAGACTAGAGGGTGACCTAGATGATGATGCAGGGGCAAGCTTGCTGACCTGATGGTCCTGGGGACTTTTGTCAAGTTGACCTAGCCTCACAGCTTGAGCCAGCCTCAAACAAGTACTTGAAAATGTCCCGTTAAAACAACAAAAGAATTCCTGACAATAAGTTGACTACATCACCCTTCAAGTGCAGAATGGTTAATAAACACCTGGAGCTTGTATGGTTTATAAACACCTGGAGCTTGTATGGTTTATAAACACCTGGAGCTTGTATGGTTTATAAACACCTGGAGCTTGTATGATTTATAAACACCTGGAGCTTGTATGGTTTATAAACACCTGGAGCTTGTGTGGTTTATAAACACCTGGAGCTTGTAGGGTTTATAAACACCTGGAGCTTGTATGGTTTATAAACACCTGGAGCTTGTGTGGTTTATAAACACCTGGAGCTTGTGTGGTTTATAAACACCTGGAGCTTGTAGGGTTTATAAACACCTGGAGCTTGTATGGTTTATAAACACCTGGAGCTTGTATGGTTTATAAACACCTGGAGCTTGTATGGTTTATAAACACCTGGAGCTTGTATGGTTTATAAACACCTGGAGCTTGTATGGTTTATAAACACCTGGAGCTTGTATGGTTTATAAACACCTGGAGCTTGTATGATTTATAAACACCTGGAGCTTGTATGGTTTATAAACACCTGGAGCTTGTGTGGTTTATAAACACCTGGAGCTTGTAGGGTTTATAAACACCTGGAGCTTGTATGGTTTATAAACACCTGGAGCTTGTATGGTTTATAAACACCTGGAGCTTGTATGGTTTATAAACACCTGGAGCTTGTATGGTTTATAAACACCTGGAGCTTGTGTGGTTTATAAACAACTGGAGCTTGTGTGGTTTATAAACACATGGAGCTTGTAGGGTTTATAAACACCTGGAGCTTGTATGGTTTATAAACACCTGGAGCTTGTATGGTTTATAAACACCTGGAGCTTGTATGGTTTATAAACACCTGGAGCTTGTATGGTCTATAAACACCTGGAGCTTGTATGGTTTATAAACACCTGGAGCTTGTATGGTTTATAAACACCTGGAGCTTGTATGGTTTATAAACACCTGGAGCTTGTATGGTTTATAAACACATGGAGCTAGGTTTATAAACACCTGGAGCTTGTATGGTTTATAAACACCTGGAGCTTGTATGGTTTATAAACACCTGGAGCTTGTATGGTTTATAAACACCTGGAGCTTGTATGGTTTATAAACACCTGGAGCTTGTATGGTTTATAAACACCTGGAGCTTGTATGGTTTATAAACACCTGGAGCTTGTATGGTTTATAAACACCTGGAGCTTGTATGGTTTATAAACACCTGGAGCTTGTATGGTTTATAAACACATGGAGCTAGGTTTATAAACACATGGAGCTTGTATGGTTTATAAACACATGGAGCTTGTATGGTTTATAAACACCTGGAGCTTGTATGGTTTATAAACACCTGGAGCTTGTATGGTTTATAAACACCTGGAGCTTGTATGGTTTATAAACACCTGGAGCTTGTATGGTTTATAAACAGGGTCCTTTATTTTTACTTAACACACACACATGCATGCATACCCACATACAAACACACACACCACTCATACACTCACATATACTGTGGTCTTGTGGATGATAAACTGTGTGTGCCATGTAACTGGTGCCGACCTGTGGTCATGTGGATGATAAACTGTGTGTGCCATGTAACTGGTGCCGACCTGTGGTCATGTTGATGATAAACTGTGTGTGCCATGTAACTGGTGCTGACATGTGGTCTTGTGGATGATAAACTGTGTGTGCCATGTAACTGGTGCCGACCTGTGGTCATGTGGATGATAAACTGTGTGTGCCATGTAACTGGTGCCGACCTGTGGTCATGTGGATGATAAACTGTGTGTGCCATGTAACTGGTTCTGACCTGTGGTCTTGTGGATGATAAACTGTGTGTCATGTAACTGGTGCTGACCTGTGGTCATAGGGATGATAAACTGTGTGTGCCATGTAAATGGTGCTGACCTGTGGTCATAGGGATGATAAACTGTGTGCCATGTAAATGGTGCTGACCTGTGGTCATAGGGATGATAAACTGTGTGCCATGTAAATGGTGCTGACCTGTGGTCTTGTGGATGATAAACTGTGTGCCATGTAAATGGTGCTGACATGTGGTCATGTGGATGATAAACTGTGTGCCATGTAAATGGTGCTGACCTGTGGTCTTGTGGATGATAAACTGTGTGCCATGTAAATGGTGCTGACCTGTGGTCATGTGGATGATAAACTGTGTGCCATGTAAATGGTGCTGACATGTGGTCATGTGGATGATAAACTGTGTGCCATGTAAATGGTGCTGACATGTGGTCATGTGGATGATAAACTGTGTGCCATGTAAATGGTGCTGACCTGTGGTCATAGGGATGATAAACTGTGTGCCATGTAAATGGTGCTGACCTGTGGTCATGTGGATGATAAACTGTGTGCCATGTAAATGGTGCTGACCTGTGGTCTTGTGGATGATAAACTGTGTGTGTCATGTAACTCGTGCTGACCTGTGGTCATAGGGATGATAAACTGTGTGCCATGTAAATGGTGCTGACCTGTGGTCATAGGGATGATAAACTGTGTGCCATGTAACTGGTGCTGACCTGTGGTCATAGGGATGATAAACTGTGTGCCATGTAAATGGTGCTGACCTGTGGTCTTGTGGATGATAAACTGTGTGTCATGTAACTGGTGCTGACCTGTGGTCATGTGGATGATAAACTGTGTGTGCCATGTAACTGGTGCTGACCTGTGGTCATGTGGATGATAAACTGTGTGTGTCATGTAACTGGTGCTGACCTGTGGTCATGTGGATGATAAACTGTGTGCCATGTAAATGGTGCTGACCTGTGGTCTTGTGGATGATAAACTGTGTGTCATGTAAATGGTGCTGACCTGTGGTCATGTGGATGATAAACTGTGTGTCATGTAAATGGTGCTGACCTGTGGTCTTGTGGATGATAAACTGTGTGTCATGTAAATGGTGCTGACCTGTGGTCATGTGGATGATAAACTGTGTGTCATGTAAATGGTGCTGACCTGTGGTCTTGTGGATGATAAACTGTGTGCCATGTAAATGGTGCTGACCTGTGGTCTTGTGGATGATAAACTGTGTGTGCCATGTAACTGGTGCTGACCTGTGGTCATAGGGATGATAAACTGTGTGTGTCATGTAACTGGTGCTGACCTGTGGTCTTGTGGATGATAAACTGTGTGTCATGTAACTGGTGCTGACCTGTGGTCATAGGGATGATAAACTGTGTGTGCCATGTAACTGGTGCTGACCTGTGGTCTTGTGGATGATAAACTGTGTGCCATGTAACTGGTGCTGACCTGTGGTCTTGTGGATGATAAACTGTGTGCCATGTAACTGGTGCTGACCTGTGGTCTTGTGGATGATAAACTGTGTGCCATGTAACTGGTGCTGACCTGTGGTCTTGTGGATGATAAACTGTGTGCCATGTAACTGGTGCTGACCTGTGGTCTTGTGGATGATAAACTGTGTGCCATGTAACTGGTGCTGACCTGTGGTCTTGTGGATGATAAACTGTGTGCCAGGTAACTCGTGCTGACCTGTGGTCATAGGGATGATAAACTGTGTGTGCCATGTAAATGGTGCTGACCTGTGGTCTTGTGGATGATAAACTGTGTGCCATGTAACTCGTGCTGACCTGTGGTCAAAGGGATGATAAATGTTTGTTAATTACCCATACACATATATACATATTTTTATTAACGCATCTCTTGTCATCCATGGTATCGCAAACAGGTCGAGCCTATGAAGTCAAGCAGTACTACCTAGAAGATTCTCTAGCTTTCACCGAGTGAGTCCATCTTCTCTCCATTCTCATTCTTGCTGCACTTTATTTCTCTGTATTTTTGTTCTCTGTTCTAAATATCTACCATTTTCTGTACCTGATTTTCATATACATATCTTCAGATGCAGGGAACAAGCCTGAATTATGTCAGCATGGAGATTACACTAGCAAGACCACAGAATGTGTCTATTGACAATACGTAAAAGATGCCAGAAAATGCCAAGACTGTCGTGGACAATACGTAAAAGATGCCAACAAAATGTCAAGACTTTCATGGACAAAATATGTAAAAGATACCAGAAAATGCCAAGACTGTCGTGGACAATACGTAAAAGATGCCAACAAAATGTCAAGACTGTCATGGACAATATGTAAAAGATGCCAGAAAATGCGAAGACTGTCATGGACAATATGTAAAAGATGCCAGAAAATGCCAAGACTGTCATGGACAATATGTAAAAGATGCCAGAAAATGCCAAGACTGTCATGGACAATACGTGGAAGATGCCAGAAAATGTCAAGACTGTTGTGGACAATACGTGAAAGATGCCAGAAAAGGCCAAGACTGTCATGGACAATACGTAAAAGATGCCAGAAAATGCCAAGACTGTCATGGACAATACGTAAAAGATGCCAGAAAATGTCAAGACTATCATGGACAATACGTGAAAGATGCCAGAAAATGCCAAGACTGTCATGGACAATGCGTGAAAGATGCCAGAAAATGCCAAGAATGTCATGGACAATACGTGAAAGATGCCAGAAAATGCCAAGACTGTCATGGATACTACGTGAAAGATGGCAGAAAATGCCAAGAATGTCATGGACAATACGTGAAAGATGCCAGAAAATGCCAAGACTGTCATGGATACTACGTGAAAGATGGCAGAAAATGCCAAGAATGTCATGGACAATACGTGAAAGATGCCAGAAAATGCCAAGACTGTCATGGAGAAACAGAAACACATTTTGGATATGTTATGAAGAGACACAAACTTGGAACACTTTGTGACGACTGGCAGATTTGATGTAAAAAGAACATAATTTACCAGATGTTCGACACATTTATAAAAATACGAGTCTAGTAAGCATCATATACTCAGTATGACCATACCGAAGGACTTCTGATCTCTATATGGAACACATTTTATAATACAAAAACAGAAATATAAAGAGAAAACTTTAGAAATATTTAATAATGTTAAGAATACCTGGAAAATACATAGATAACCTCTGGAAGATCATTAAACAGAAAATACCTTAAAAAATATAGAAGTTTGGAGACGACCTGGGCACACTCAGAGAATGTTTCCAGAATACCTAGAGAAGATGGGGGAGCAGAAAATGTAAACAAAACAACACAAATAAAGTTTCGGCCGGCAGCCTTTGTCAAACATGAAGTAAACAACACAAATGTAACACAGAGGAGAGTATTCCCACTTTAATATATTTATATACAGTCAGCCTAGGGAAGTGTCAGCGGCCATTGTCAGTCCTGTCAGGTCAGCCTAGGGAAGTGTCAGCAGCCATTGTCAGTCCTGTCAGATTATGCATGTACTGGTAATGATGTTACACGGAAGATAAAACAGTGGGTGGCAACAGAAATCATGATGTTCTCACTGAATTGAGCTGCAGCCATACTAACAACAAACTCACAGTGGGTCAAGGGTCATGGAGACTCAGGGCTGTAGCGGCTAAGAATTTCGGGCAGTGGAGCACACCAGTTGTTCCCCCTTGTGAGTCTCTGGGTCTAGCCTTACTAGTGAAAAGAGCGCACTCAAGTGGTAAGTTCTTACCTGGCAAACCTTTCTACAGTCAAGACCGTTGTGCTTGCCCAAAAGGCACATCCTTTAAAAGGTGACCCCCTTAACCAAGATCTTGCTGTCCTGGGACAAAACACAAATGATCTAGAGGAGACAACCTCGATTTAAAAAACCAAGCCTAAAGTGGATCTACATGCCGAGAGACTGAATGGCTGTGGGATAGTCAGTCGTGAACGTGGACGTCTGGTCAGCGGGAGGGGTGGCGCCAGGGGTTTGGACTCTATATGGACATCCATTGCCTCTTCCCTAGCAGATAGGCTCTATTATGGTGACCGGCTACTTCATGCGTTATAACACATTTTTTCATATGGATTTTTCATTTCATAAAAATTGTTGCTGGAGCTATGGAGCATGTGGTCTGTGCTTGACGTCATCTTCAGCAAGCAGCAAAGAGAACGTGAAGAGGAGAAAATGGTAAGAAAAGAAAGCCGAGAAAAAGAAGGGCAGGAGCCAGGAGATTAAGTTGAAAAACAGAACGCCTGGGGTTTAGTCATGTAAGAGTGTGTGTTTGAAACTTTCGCAGTGGCAGACAAAAAAGGGCCTATACTAGAGAGGTTGATGTACAACTTTGTTGTAATCATGCTTCAGGAGCTGAATGCAGATAAATATCATTGCCCTGGATGTGTCAGCTACGTAAACACTGCTGGACATGGGAGACATGGGCAATGTCTGCTGGTGAAGGAGGGCTTGAAACATGTGATGCTTGAGCTGAGTCTCTGGAACAATGACGCTAAAGAGGTGCAGGGAATACAGATGGAGATTGGTGGCCTAAGTTGCAACATTAATAATTGTCTATGCTGCCGTGGGCTCTTTAGTTACAAAACAACAGTGGGACTGGCTGAAAGACCTGGAGGAGATCCCTGGCAACAGTGGGACTGATTGAAAGACCTGGAGGAGATCCATGGCAACAGTGGGACTGGCTGAAAGACCTGGAGGAGATCCATGGCAACAGTGGGACTGATTGAAAGACCTGGAGGAGATCCCTGGCAACAGTGGGACTGGCTGAAAGACCTGGAGGAGATCCCTGGCAACAGTGGGACTGATTGAAAGACCTGGAGGAGATCCCTGGGAACAGTGGGACTGATTGAAAGACTTGGAGGAGATCCCTGGCAACAGTGGGACTGATTGAAAGACCTGGAGGAGATCCCTGGCAACAGTGGGACTGGCTGAAAGACCTGAAGGAGATCCCTGGAAACAGGCTCCTCATTTGTGGGGATTTCAATGCACGGAACAATAAATGGGACAGTACTGGGGAAAATCGACAGGGAGTTGCCCTTGCTGAGGCCATGGTTGATTCAAATTTGGTCTGCATAAATGATGGGAGGCCAACCAGAATGGCTGTGAGGCCCAGTGATGCAGACACATCTATTGACCTGGCTCTGGTTACCCAGAGCAGTACTGGAGACCAGATGAAAGGTTCTAGGCGTTCTTGGAAGTGATCATCTGCTATGCTCGGTATTGATCTCCAAATCCAGTAAAGTCAAGACTTTAAAAGCTCGTGGGTCTTTCAAGTATGAGCAGACAGACACCCTTCTTGGACGCCTCCAACAGAGGGCATGGAAGAGAAATATCAGATCTACTTTTGTCAGCCTCCATGGTGGACATAAGAAGTAGAACAGGCATGGAAGTTAAAGAAAGTGCGACAGACATCCCTAAACACGTAGGAAGAATTGGAGTTCACGGAAAGATATAAGAAAGATAGGATAAAGGTTTTCTAGCATTGTGCAGCAGAAACCAAAAAAAAAAAAAGCAAAATGGGAACATTTTAATTATGAGATTGACACATGGTCAAATGCAGCCACTTTTGCCTTTGACACCTTTGAAGGTTTCCAGGTCAGACAGGAGACGGTGGCAGCGGCACTTGATTTAGAAGATGCTTACAACCGAGTCAGATACAGTATCTTGGTGACAGCACTTATGGAGAAGGGAGTATGCCCTTGGTTGGTAAATTGACAGCAGCTGTTTTGTGGGTAGCTCTCCGCCTGGGTTCATTGACCTCTGAACCGAGTATTATAACTCCAGGACTGCCACAGGGATCTGCAATTTCACCTGTAGTATTCAATGTTTTTGCGAGCAAGATTACCTGCCTGGAAACACCTGGAGTTGGCAGAATATTGACATTTGCAGATGATGTTCTTGTAAATAGGAAGGAGAGAGATCGGAATCAAATAGCTGAAGAGTTACAGGCAACTGTAGATAAGGTGATCGACTGGTGTACAGTGTTGAGGGCTGTAATCAACCCAGAAAAGGCAACCGTCCTGTGGTGTTCTTTGGACAACAGGATTGTTAGAGCTGATGTTCCCAGACTCAAAATAAATCGCAGGGACATCAAAAGAGACAGCAGACTGTGGTACCTGGGAATCTTCTTTGACAGAAGTTTGTCTTTCAAGGATCACATAGAGGGAGTTGTGACAAGGGCTCAAAAAGGTCCTAATGCACTAAAGATTATGGCAGCGATGGACATGGAGCAGAGAAAGCTGTTCACGCTTTATCAGCACCTAATCATCTCTGTGATTGATTATGGATTATGATTGCCCACTGTCTCAAAGAGTCAGCTAGAGAAACTGGAGCGCATACAGAATGAAGCTATGCGGGTGATCCTGTGTTGTACAAGAGACACACCAATTTTGTGCAATCAATAAATTCTTGCATTGCTGACTATTGTAGATAGGCTAAAAGTGCTGCAGGCTGTCATACCTCAGAGTAACAGAGGACAAAGAAAACCCTCTGTATGAAGCTTTGACTGCAGCCAAGGGTCAGAGGCTGAAAAGGGAAAAATCATTGATGGCTCAAGCAGAAGACACAATATGACACGTATGCATGCTGGAGAACATTGGGCGAGGAGAGGAGTGGGTCAGAGTACCAGCAGAAAAGTCTTACCTATGTAGGGTTATGATCGCATTGGGCCGGGTGCGCAGAAAGTGGCTAGCAGGTGCTACGGAGGTGGAAGTCCAACAGTTGATTCACTACAATTCACACCCAGGTGATCTGATTATCTATACAGATGGTTCAGTGTTAAGAGGAAAGAGAAGTGCCTGGGGGTTCATAGATAAAGCCAATGAAAAATCTTTAGTGCAAGACAGCCGAGCAAATGACATCACAACATCTAGCATGAGAATGGGTGTGTAGACTGTAACTGCAGCTCTCCAGTGGCTAGAGAACAAGATGCATACACATGTCATTATTGTAACAGACTCTGAAAGTATGCTGAGAAAGGTAATGAACAGGCAGACATATTGGCTGGATCTGCACCACTAGGTGATGAATTGATTTATGACAAGACAGATGTGGTCAAGGCACTTTGGGAACAAGCAACGGAATTAGTAGAAAAACCAGATTATTATGCCCTGAAGAGACTGAGGTACTTGGGTGTAACCAGAGGGTTTGGCCGGCTCACTATACTCAGAGGAAAATCAACACGGACATATAACCAGATTGTGACCAGTACCATCAGTATTAGAACTCTGCACTGACTGCTGAAGATGAGGGCGGAGCACACATGAGAATGCCCCGAGTGCTAGGATGTCAATTCTTGACTCAACTCAACTCAACTGACAATGTAAGTTCTTATCAGGGCACAGTTTAGATTTATTAGAATCATAAGTTTTTTTTATGGCAGTCTGAAGGCATCCCAAATGTTGTAACTGGATGATCTATTTTGTTAGCTTCCAGCTGAGTAGAGAAATAGTCGCCAAGACCAGGAACACGAGAGGAAGCAGAACATTCACAGACAAAACTGAAGACTGGGACCTGACTGAGCCGGAGCTGCAGCATCGCTACCCTAGTAAGAGTCTTCAGGTTAAACAAATTGAAGTGTTTATTAAATAAGTGTTTAGGATACAAACAATTGTTGAATTTTTAAGGGTATGAACAAAGTATATAGAGTGACTGTTCTTTCACTTTTTATAAATAATACTTAAGACTCAGGAATGCAAAACTGATCTGTTATTGTAAAGTTTCACACTCTTTGATGTGTTCCTTTCTAACCACTAGCTGAGTAACCTATCAAGAGAATTCAAGCATGTTCAAACTTCCCCTTTTCCTGACACGGCCATCTTTATGTCACACCAGTTGGTCCAGTCTGTTGGACAGGAACTATTAGATTTTTCTCATCTGCCCACCATCATAGTTAGGGCTGGTTACTTGAGGTGTTTCTCTTTCACCTCTGGGGAGTCAGCAGAGATGTCTGGAAGATTTTCTATGTGCATCAGTGTGCACCTGACACTGTCAGTACGGCAGGCAGCTCTAACTACGGCAGGCAACTCTGACACTATCAGTACGGCAGGCAACTCTGACACTATCAGTACGGCAGGCAACTCTGACACTATCAGTACGGCAGGCAACTCTGACACTATCAGTACGGCAGGCAACTCTGACACTATCAGTACGGCAGGCAACTCTGACACTATCAGTACGGCAGGCAACTCTGACACTATCAGTACGACAGGCAACTCTGACACTGTCAGTACGGCAGGCAACTCTGACACTATCAGTACGGCAGGCAACTCTGACACTATCAGTACGGCAGGCAGCTCTGACACTATCAGTACGGCAGGCAACTCTGACACTATCAGTACGGCAGGCAACTCTGACACTATCAGTACGGCAGGCAACTCTGACACTATCAGCACGGCAGGCAACTCTGACACTATCAGTACGGCAGGCAGCTCTGACACTATCAGCACGGCAGGCAACTCTGACACTATCATTACGGCAGGCAACTCTGACACTATCAGCACGGCAGGCAACTCTGACACTATCAGCACGGCAGGCAACTCTGACACTATCAGCACGGCAGGCAACTCTGACACTATCAGTACGGCAGGCAACTCTGACACTATCAGTACGGCAGGCAACTCTGACACTATCCGTACGGCAGGCAACTCTGACACTATCAGTACGGCAGGCAGCTCTGACACTATCAGTACGGCAGGCAGCTCTGACACTGTCAGTGCGGCAGGCAACTCTGACACTATCAGTACGGAAGGCAACTCTGACACTATCAGTACGGCAGGCAGCTCTGACACTATCAGTACGGCAGGCAACTCTGACACTATCAGTACGGCAGGCAACTCTGACACTATCAGTACGGCAGGCAACTCTGACACTATCAGTACGGCAGGCAACTCTGACACTATCAGTACGGCAGGCAACTCTGACACTATCAGTACGGCAGGCAAATCTGACACTATCAGTACGGCAGGCAACTCTAACACTATCAGTACGGCAGGCAACTCTGACACTATTAGTGCGGCAGGCAACTCTGACACTATCAGTACGGCAGGCAACTCTGACACTATCAGTACGGCAGGCAACTTTGACACTATCAGTACGGCAGGCAGCTCTGACACTATCAGTACGGCAGGCAACTCTGACACTATCAGTACGGCAAGCAACTCTGACACTATCAGTACGGCAGGCAACTCTGACACTATCAGTACGGCAGGAAACTCTGACACTATCAGTACGACAGGCAACTCTGACACTGTCAGTACGGCAGGCAACTCTGACACTTTCAGTACGACAGGCAACTCTGACACTGTCAGTACGGCAGGCAACTCTGACACTTTCAGTACGGCAGGCAGCTCTGACACTATCAGTACGGCAGGCAACTCTGACACTATCAGCACGGCAGGCAACTCTGACACTATCAGCACAGCAGGCAACTCTGACACTATCAGCACGGCAGGCAACTCTGACACTATCAGTACGGCAGGCAACTCTGACACTATCAGTACGGCAGGCAACTCTGACACTATCCGTACGGCAGGCAACTCTGACACTATCAGTACGGCAGGCAACTCTGACACTATCAGTACGGCAGGCAGCTCTGACACTATCAGTACGGCAGGCAGCTCTGACACTATCAGTACGGCAGGCAGCTCTGACACTATCAGTACGGCAGGCAACTCTGACACTATCAGTACGGCAGGCAACTCTGACACTATCAGTACGGCAGGCAACTCTAACACTATCAGTACGGCAGGCAACTCTGACACTATCAGTGCGGCAGGCAACTCTGACACTATCAGTACGGCAGGCAGCTCTGACACTATCAGTACGGCAGGCAACTCTGACACTATCAGTACGGCAGGCAGCTCTGACACTATCAGTACGGCAGGCAACTCTGACACTATCAGTACGGCAGGCAACTCTGACACTATCAGTACGGCAGGCAGCTCTGACACTATCAGTACGGCAGGCAACTCTGACACTATCAGTACGGCAGGCAACTCTGACACTATCAGTACGGCAGGCAACCCTGACACTATCAGTACGGCAGGCAACTCTGACACTATCAGTACGGCAGGCAACTCTGACACTATCAGTGCGGCAGGCAACTCTGACACTATCAGTGCGGCAGGCAACTCTGACACTATCAGTGCGGCAGGCAACTCTGACACTATCAGTGCGGCAGGCAACTCTGACACTATCAGTGCGGCAGGCAACTCTGACACTATCAGTGCGGCAGGCAACTCTGACACTATCAGTGCGGCAGGCAGCTCTGACACTATCAGTGCGGCAGGCAACTCTGACACTATCAGTACGGCAGGCAGCTCTGACACTATCAGTACGGCAGGCAACTCTGACACTATCAGTACGGCAGGCAACTCTGACACTATCAGTACGGCAGGCAACTCTGACACTATCAGTACGGCAGGCAACTCTGACACTATCAGTACGGCAGGCAACTCTGACACTATCAGTACGGCAGGCAACTCTGACACTATCAGTACGGCAGAAAACTCTGACACTATCAGTACGGCAGGCAACTCTGACACTATCAGTACGGCAGAAAACTCTGACACTATCAGTACGGCGGCAGGCAACTCTGACACTATCAGTACGGCAGGCAACTCTGACACTATCAGTACGGCAGCTCTTCATTGGCTACTAACTGAGGGGGCGGAGCAGGTGTGGGAATGTTCTGAAAGCAGTGATATCTATTTTTGATTGATTGATTGATTGATTCGTTCATTTATTCAAGAAGTGAAGGCATCCTGTGATAGTTTTGTAGGATATATAGCTGATATGGTCACATTATTCTGTCTGTGTGTGTGTGTAATCAGTGCGCATGGTTGCTCCTAAATGTTCTCTGAAATCATTCTCAGTCTGACTTGTCTGGTTAGTTGATCTCATCTCACTAGGAGTTTCTACACTTCACAGTTAATCATTTTACAGAATTAACTAACAAATAAAAGAAAAAGATCACGAAATTAATCATATTACAGAATTAACTAGGAAATAAAAGAAAAAGATCACGAAATTAATCATATTACAGAATTAACTAGCAAATAAAAAAAAAAGATCACAAAATTAATCATATTACAGAATTAACTAGCAAATAAAAGAAAAAGATCACGAAATTAATCATATTACAGAATTAACTAGCAAATAAAAGAAAAAGATCACGAAATTAATCATATTACAGAATTAACTAGCAAATGAAAGAAAAAGATCACAGAATTAATCATATTACAGAATTAACTAGCAAATGAAAGAAGAAGATCACAGAGTTAACCACTTCACAGTTAATCATAATCACAGAAAAACCACTTTACAGAGTTAAGGATTTCACAGAATTAACCACTTCACCGCATTAATCAGTTCACATTAACAAATTCACAGAGTTAATCAGTTAACCAATTTATATATTTAACCAGTTTACAGAGGTAAACCAGTTGAAATAGTTAACTAGTTCACAGATTTAACCAGTTCACAGAGTTAACCAGTTCACAGTTAACCACTTCAGATAGTTTAACCAGTTCACAGAGTTAACCTGCTGGCATTCAGTCTCCTCCACAAGTTGCTTGTGTTCTGTAAAATCATTTCCCAAGCTTTTGATTTGGGGAGTCTGTCTGATCTTTGAATTTCTCATGTGAACATCAAGTGAACTCTGCAGTCTCATAATCTTTAAAGTTTATTTCTCAGATACAGATTTTCCTGTTGTTTTTCTCATGTTTTACTAAGCTTTATGTGTGTGTTTTTTTGTTTTGTGTGGATAACTTTTCATTAGATGTGTGAGGTTTGGTTTGTTTATGTGTGAAGTATGGTTTGTTTATGTGTGAAATATGGTTTGTTTATGTGTAAAGTATGGTTTGTTTATGTGTTAAGTATGGTTTGTTTATGTGTGAAGTATCTTTTGTTTATGTGTGAAGTATGGTTTGTTTATGTGTAAAGTATGGTTTGTTTATGTGTTAAGTATGGTTTGTTTATGTGTAAAGTATGGTTTGTTTATGTGTAAAGTATGGTTTGTTTATGTGTAAAGTATGGTTTGTTTATGTGTGAAGTATGGTTTGTTTATGTGTTAAGTATGGTTTGTTTATGTGTAAAGTATGGTTTGTTTATGTGTGAAGTATGGTTTGTTTATGTGTGAAGTATGGTTTGTTTATGTGTGAAGTATGGTTTGTTTATGTGTGAAGTATAGTTTGTTTATGTGTGAAGTATGGTTTGTTTATGTGTAAAGTATGGTTTGTTTATGTGTGAAGTATGGTTTGTTTATGTGTGAAGTATGGTTTGTTTATGTGTAAAGTATGGTTTGTTTATGTGTAAAGTATGGTTTGTTTATGTGTGAAGTATGGTTTGTTTATGTGTAAAGTATGGTTTGTTTATGTGTGAAGTATGGTTTGTTTATGTGTTAAGTATGGTTTGTTTATGTGTAAAGTATGGTTTGTTTATGTGTGAAGTATGGTTTGTTTATGTGTGAAGTATGGTTTGTTTATGTGTGAAGTATGGTTTGTTTATGTGTAAAGTATGGTTTGTTTATATGTAAAGTATGGTTTGTTTATGTGTGAAGTATGGTTTGTTTATGTGTGAAGTATAGTTTGTTTATGTGTAAAGTATGGTTTGTTTATGTGTAAAGTATGGTTTCTTTATGTGTAAAGTATGGTTTGTTTATGTGTGAAGTATGGTTTGTTTATGTGTTAAGTATGGTTTGTTTATGTGTAAAGTATGGTTTGTTTATGTGTAAAGAATGGTTTGTTTATGTGTGAAGTATGGTTTGTTTATGTGTGAAGTATGGTTTGTTTATGTGTGAAGTATGGTTTGTTTATATGTAAAGTATGGTTTGTTTATGTGTGAAGTATGGTTTGTTTATGTGTGAAGTATGGTTTGTTTTTGTGTGAAGTATGGTTTGTTTATGTGTAAAGTATGGTTTGTTTATGTGTGAAGTATGGTTTGTTTATGTGTTAAGTATGGTTTGTTTATGTGTAAAGTATGGTTTGTTTATGTGTAAAGTATGGTTTGTTTATGTGTGAAGTATGGTTTGTTTTTGTGTGAAGTGTGGTTTGTTTATGTGTGAAGTATGGTTTGTTTATGTGTGAAGTATGGTTTGTTTATGTGTGAAGTATGGTTTGTTTATGTGTGAAGTATGGTTTGTTTATGTGTGAAGTTTGGTTTGTTTATGTGTAAAGTATGGTTTGTTTATGTGTGAAGTATGGTTTGTTTATGTGTGAGGCATGGTTTGTTTATGTGTAAAGCATGGTTTGTTTATGTTTGGAGTATGGTTTATGTGTGAAGTATGGTTTTGTTTATGTGTGGAATCATCATCAGTCCATCAGTTCTCGTTATGCCCAGTGGCACATAAGGCTTCATAGAGGACTTTTCATGCTTCCCTGTCCTGTGCAATCTTCAGTGCAGTTTTCCATGTCAAAGATGCCGCACTCAGGTAATTTTTCATCGTTCGTCTCCATGTTGTTTTTGGGCGCCACTGTTTTTTTTTCTTTCCCTCTGGTGTCCATGTGAGAGCTGTATTGGCGGGTATATCAGAAATCATTTTCATAACGTGGCCAAGCCATTTCCATTTTCTCTTGGTTATCGTACTGTTTCTTGGTTTGTGACTTGAAGTAGTTTAGTGTTTGAGATTGTATCTGGCCAGAAAATTTTGATAATTCTATGTAGACATGCGTGGTGGAAGGTGAACAGCTTGTGTGCATCCTTTTTGGTCATTCTCCAGCATTCCGCTCCATAAAGAAGAACTGGCAAAATGATGCTCTTGTAGAGTCGGAGTTTTATTCCTCTGCAGTAATTGTTGGATTTCCAGATTTGCCTCAACCTTCCAAAAGCAGCGCTAGCTTTGTTCAGACGTGACTGTATGTTCTCTTCGGTCCCTCCCGGCAGGGACACCACACTGCCAAGATATGTGAAATGTTCTACATTTTCAAGTGATTGGTTATTTATGGTCGCTGGTTGTTGGTTTGGACTGTTTGTCGTGATCTTAGTTTTCTTTGTATTTATTCTCAGTCCCACCATTTCTGCTGTGCTGTGTAGTCTGTTACTTTTTTCTTGTATATGTTCATGTTTATGTGTTTTTTTTTGGCAGATGATATAGCACTCCTATCACATATCACATAAACATGTGTAGAATATGGTTTGTTTATGTGGGAAGTATGGTTTGTTTATGTGTGAAGTATGGTTTGTTTATGTGGGAAGTATGGTTTGTTTATGTGTGAAGTTTGGTTTTTTTAATGTGTGAAGTATAGTTTGTTAGGGGGGGGGGGGGGGGTGTTTGTGTGTGTGTCTGTGTGTGTGTTTGTGTCTGTGTGTGTCTGTGTGTATGTGTCTGGTGTGTGTGTGTGTGCTGGTTTGTATGTCTGTGAGTGTGTCTGTGTGTGTGTCTGTGTGTGTGTCTGTGTGTGTGTCTGTGTGTGTGTGTGTCTGTGTGTGTGTATGCGGAATGTGTGTGTATGTGCATGTGTATATGTATGTATTATGAGGGTGTATGTGGGTGTGTATATATACATGTTTAAGTGAGTGGGTAGACGCGTGTTTGTGTGTGCATGAGCTAGTGTGTGCATGAATTTTACCACCTATGCTTTTGTGCTTTTTCTTGATATTCACAATATACATATTATCATATGAATTTAACAGGCTCTAGTGATTAAATACAACTGCTGTGTGAAAAACAGGTGTTCGGAAGGGCCGAATGTATGACGGGCCTGTGTGCCCAATTTGTGACCCTTTGAAAATAAATTTTGTTTGTTCATTCTCTGTGTTTAGTTACTTTCTGTTTTTAGTTTTAAATCTGTCTCTAACTTTATTTTGTCCATGCAAACAATGAGTAGTAATGATGACAGAACACTTGTTGGAAATGATGAAACTAACATTAATTAACAATACAAAATATAAATAAAAAAAGAGGAATAAGAAGAATATCTTTGCTGATGTGTTTAGATTGCAGTCGGGAAGTGATCAGGGCTTTAGCTCACCTCAAGCCAGAAAACATTAACTATGATCTCATTGTGATGTTGGTGATTTGGATTGCCAAGTCTCAGCAGAAGGTAAGCCATTGTACATTTAATAGATTATCAGGTTTCAACACAATGTCAGTTATTTTAATTTAAACAATCTATGCAATTTAAAAAAGTATCTGCTATTTCTGTGATCATAACACTATATATCCGTTATATATTTCTGTTCAATGTAAAGTCCTAAACTTATTATAACAATTAGACAGAAACAATTAGTGTTTTTTTGACATATTATAAGAAGGAGTGGACATAAGAACTTGGTAACCACTGACTAAATTGGTGGGTGTCAGACACCTTTTATAGGTGTGACACAAGTAGAATTGTTATTTGTGCCAGGTGTACCCACACTTCCATGAACATGTAAACGCTGATGACCTTGTTCCAGTTCTTAAACAATGTTTAAGAAACTCTTGATAATTGCAAAGTTAGTATGTTTATTTAAGAACTCATGATAATTGCAAAGTTAGTATGTTTATTTAAGAACTCATGATAATTGCAAAGTTAGTATGGCTTCCACTACTGAGCAGCCACAGATTGT